GGAATATATTCCAAGAAACAAGAAACATCCATCAGAAATGATATATGCACCCCTATGTTCATAGCAGCACAATTTACAATAGCTAAGATTTGGACACACCCTAAGTGCCCATCAGCAGATGAGTGGATTAAAAAACAGTGGTACATCTACACAATGGAGTACTACACTGCTATAAAAAGGAAGGAACTAAAAAAAAAAAAGGAAGGAACTCCTACCATTTGCAACAGCATGGATGGACCTGGAGAGCATTATGCTAAGCGAAATAAGCCAGTCGGAGAAAGACAAATATAACATAATCTCACTCATTTATGGAATATAATGAACAACATAAACTGATGAACAAAAACAATCCAGAGACAGAGAAGCATTGATCAGATGGTCAAACCTCAGAGGGAGGGTGGAGGTAAGGGGGAGAGAGCAACCAAAGGACTTGTATGCATGCATATAAGCATAACCAGTGGACACAGACACCAGGGGAGTGAGGGCATGAGGGGGGGGCCGGGGAGGGGGGGCAAGAGGGGGGATAAGGACACATATCTAATACCTTAATCAATAAAAAAAAATGTTAATGAATTTATTGGAGAGTTTTAGAGCTCAATAAAATGTTTGACTATTGAAGTAAAAAAAAAAAGATGCTGTGATTTTCAACCTGATACCTTGATTCCAGAGAACCAAAAGCCACATCCACTATAAATTTAACTTAAGATATCTTCCCACATGCTAATGTTTTACAGCAACATTACTAAACATGAGAGCACCACCTGGCTCCAGCAATACGCAGACTTAATGAAGACATATTTCCGTGAGCTCCTGGCCTCTCTGCATCGATCAAGACATTTCCAGCTGAACCTAAATTAACCTGTAAATGAACTGATTTGCATCCATAAATCCAAAAGAAATGTACCATTGTAGTGTGTTTGAAATACCCAGTCTCCATTTCCCAATCTCATGCAATTTTCTTGTTAAACTAAATGATCCTTTCTATAAACTGTTTTCATCTTTAGTAAAACAGGACAAAAGGAAAATCTGAACCACCTAGAGTAGATACTTCATAACTAGTTACAGTGCCTTAAAAAGAAAAGAATCTCAGATATCTGATCAACCTTCTTAGGAAGAAAACCAACAGGAGGTACCAAAAGAGACCTAAGTTTCAATGATTTTTATCATTTCACTTAGACTGCAATCCTGGTTTCTATCTAGTTCTCAGTGAAAGAACTTTTCCATTTTTTAAAAATATATTTTATTAATTTTTTATAGAGAGGAAGGGAGAGGAATAGAGAGTTAGAAACATCGATGAGAGAGAAACATCGATCAGCTGCCTCCTGCACACCCCCTATTGGGAATGTGCCCGCAACCAAGGTACATGCCCTTGACCGGAATCGAACCTGGGATCCTTCAATCCGCAGGGGGACGCTCTATCCACTGAGCCAAACCGGTTAGGGCGAACCTTTCCATTCTGATAATCAAACCCAAGCAGTCTGATTAACAAAAAGGAAAGTATACTTACTCTATATCCACAATGTGCTACACTCTTTCATATGTTATCTTAGCTAATCCTCACCATATGGTCATGTGAGATGTATATAATTTCCACTTTGTAGAAAAGGAAAGTGATGACACTTAAGTCTCCTGGATGGCAGGGATCATGTCTAGTGTCTGTACATTCCTAGTACTGAGCTCCCAGCACTGAGTATGTGGCCTAGGACACAGTTTAAGAGCCTACCACATGCTTAAGAATGAATGCTTGACTAACGGAAAGGAAAAGAAATTTGGAAAAAATATTCAATCCAAATTTTGCTCTAAGCTTTTAACTGAAACCACTGCCTGGAACACACCTGCACACTGCAAATAATCTACTTGAGCTTCAGAGGTTTGTTTCAAAGGACAATCTATCATCTTTCTAATGCGTATGCCACAAAGATACCATCCACATTTGGCTATAAACTCCACAGGGCAGGGCCTGATCCTACTGAACTTTTTTTTCTCCCACTCAGCACCACACCTTGCACAGGAGGGCGTTTAGTGATCTGAGCAATGACAAAGGTCATGATGACGCCTTCAGCCATCATGAGAGTAAATAGAACACAAGATGCCCACAGCCACCAGAAGAACTAGTCTCTGAGTCATTACTTCCTGTCTCCAGCCTCATTTTCCTCTCTATGCAATGGGAATAACAAGAAAACACACTCACAAGATTGTTTTAATTAATTTAATAAATACTAAGCATTAATCACATGCCAGGCACTATGCTAGATGTGATAAACATTCATGCCTCATGGAACTCACAGTCTCAGTGGATCCTGTGAGACTCATATGAAAAAAAGGACTTTTACAAACTTCAAAGAACTATACTATTATGAAGTACTGCTCCTCCCCTGTGCTTCCCAACTTGGTTAATGGCATTACCCCCTAATCACTGTCCAAGCTCTAAACTTGGGAATTGTCCTCAACTCTCTCTCCTTCATCCTGCACAGTTCTAATCCATCACCAAGTCTCTTCTGATTGTCCTTCAAAAAAGTCTCTGTCATTTATCACTTCTCGTCTAGTTTTCCATGCTTCTACACTAGGCATTTTGTTCCTACCTGAATAAGTACAAGTCTTGTAATAATGATAATGGCGAGCAGTTATTGATCACTCACCATATGTCAGGCTTTGTATTAAGAGCTTTGCATGCATAACGTAATTTAATTCAATAAGGTAAATACTACTAACCTTATTTATAGATGAATCTGAGGTGCAGAGCAACCTACCCAAGGTGCACACAGCTAAGGCTCAAATCCATATCTATGAGATTCAACCCTTACCTGTTACTGGATCCCTGCCTCCAGTTCTTTCCTGGTTGGTCTACACTCTTTCCGTTATACTGCTGCTGGAGTGTTCTTTCAAAAATCCAAGCTGATCTGTATATTCTGGTTTAAGACAGCCAGTGGCTCCTCACCATCTCCAGGTTAAAGTCTGAAGGCCACAGGCCACTCCTGTGTTACCTATTTGTTGTCCCACCACACTCTCACAGCTCCCCAAATTCTTTGCTGACCCACCTCACATCTCCCTCTTCTGCAAAGCCTTTTTGCCCTTCACCTCCAGACAGAAACCTTCTCTTCAGCCTTGGCCCCAAATACGTACACACTCACGTTTCAGCTCTGACAAGTATGTTTCTTTCATATTCTCTCTCTCTCTCTCTCTCTCTCTCTCTCTCTCTCTCTCTCTCTCTCTGTGTGTGTGTGTGTGTGTCCCACACACATAACTCACACAAACTCAAACAAAACAAAACAAAACAAAACTACACACTTCCAATCCTGAGTCCCTGGAGGGCAGGCACAATGTATTTTCATCTCTGTTTCTCTAGGTCCCAGCACAGCATCAAGTCAGTAAGTGACTAAATGAGTGGTAAGGGGTGGCGTTAACACCTCACAGCACTATCCCAATAAGCAGATATGGCCTTTCCCCCAGAGGACGCTATAAAGAAGGGCAGTAGCTCCTGTCCTCTCAGGAAAACTCAAGATAGACTGCTTTCAGCAAAGTTATTACAACTGAGATTGGTGCTCCATAGTCTGCTGGAAGCCTCCCTCCAAGCCTCTTGAAAGCCAATTCAATCACCTCTGAAACAGCAGAAACTAAACTAGTAGCTTCAGACCAAAAGACCACTGGAGAATTGCACTTTGATGGGAGATGGCATAAAATGACGCCCTCCTGACCACCCTGAAAGAGCAAAGCATTCCCAAATGCAGGCCAGTAAAAACAGTGACTCTAATTACCATGAACAACAGAGGACCTTCCTGACTGAGAGTCATCCCCAAAAAAGCTAGAGACTGCAAAATCTGACCCCGCTCTCCATCTCCAGAGCTGCAACTGGAGTCTAGGCCACAGATGACTGCAACTGCCTTCTCACCGGTCTCCCTGCTCCCACCCTCACTCCCTCCACCAGTCTATTTTCCAAAGAGCAGCCAGATGGTGTTTTTAAAACCATTATCAACAATTTGGACAATTAGGACATGCATAACACCCTCCAACAGCTTTCCATCACTTGAAATAAACTCTTTCCAAACTCTTTACCAGGAAGTTCGAGGTCCGCCTACTCCCCACCCCCTTATTTCACACCACTCCCCCCTTCAATCACTACATTCTAGAAACCGAGGTCTTGTGTTTCTTAAAACAGGCCAACCTCTGGGCCTTTTCCTATGCTGTTCTCCGGCCCAAAGGCCCCTCCCCTAGATTTTTCCAGAGCTGGTTCCTTCTCAAGAACAAATTTACCTTTTCAAAGAGGACTTCCCTGACCACTCTAACTACAGTGACACCCATTTCCACCCCATCACTCCCCATCAGTTACTTTTTCCCTACACATCACAACAAGACAATATTTTCTTGATTTATTTCCCTGTCTCTGTCTTCTCCCTCATTAGAGTGGAAGCTGTGTTTTGTTCACCCTATGAAATCACACAAAATTCCAAAAGAATTGCAGACTATTGACAAAGGAACATCCTCAGGATGGGCTACTTTGTTCTTATGTTAAAACGAAGGAAACTTCTATTTAGCCCGTCCTATGTGCTGGGCACTGTAAATCCATAATCTTCCCTGACGGAAAGGTAAATTAACTAGTTCAAGGTCACAGGGCTAGGGACTGCCAGAGTTCAAGTTAAGTAACTTAGAGCTTCTCAGCCCCTCTCACCTTTGCCCCCTCTTAGGGGAAGGGTCTCAGACTATGTATGGTTCACTCTCATATTGCCATAGCAAGAAAAATTAAATGTCTAAATTGCTTTACAATTATTAAAGCATTTTCACATTCACCTTACTTAAGAATATAAAGCAAATACAAAAAAGAAAAAAGAATATAAAGCTATTACCCAGAAAGCCATACAAGTAAAGTGCCTCAAGGTTCAGTCCCCCTGCCCTTAACCACAGCAGTGGGGACTGGGGAGGAGTCCTGGCCAATGGAGGACTGGAATCGGTATTTCTGGTCTAGAGGGATGGGGAAGCGGTGAGTCACGGGGTGCAGGCTGGGCCTCTGTGAAACTCTGGGAAGACCTGGCTCCGAAGCACCAAGAAGCGAACCGCAGAGCTGGAAAGCACCCTAGGCCTCACGGAGGCAAAACCTTGGCTGACGGATGGGGCAAAATGAGACAAGAGGAAAAGTAACTTGCTCAAGTCCACTCAGCCAGCGAACAGAGCCGGAGCCGGGGTCTCCTCTCCCCGCGGCCCCTCTCCTCTCCAGCGAGGCGGCTTCTCAAGGGTAATTCTGAGTCAGAGGGTGGAAAGAGCCAAGGGCAGCTCATGGACTCCACAGAGGGGCAGGGAAGGACCAGGAAAGGACAAGTGTTAGGGAATCGGCAGTCCCTGGGAAGGGTGGGCGAGGGCAGGCCAGAGGGAGGAGGAAAAGGAGGAAGAGAAACGAAAAGAGTGAGGGAGAAGTACAGTGTTGTGAGAACAGGGTCTGGAGGGGCCTGGGGGCAGAGCGCTTGGAATGAGAGCCTGATGCTCGGGGAGACACGGAAGGGAGTCTGACCCGGGAGATTCCAGGATCCGAGCAGATCCTGGTGCGCGTCTGACGAAGGTGGAGTCCGGGCCCGGGAATTGAGGGGAGTCTACCGGAGCCGGGCCGACTCACCACGCTTGTTTTTGGTGCCGTGCTTCTTGGCGGCCGTCAGCTCCTGCTCGATCTTCTTCTCCAGAAATTCTTGCTTTTTACTTAGCATCTCCTCCGTGTCCCGCAGCCTCTGGATGGCCTCCTGGGGGGTCGGGCCGCCCTTGCCAGACTTTCCCCCTCCCGCCCCGAACAGCTTCCCAAATACCGACATGGTTGCTGCTCGCCGCGCCGGCCTGCGCCGTCCGCTCCGGCTCGGCTCGGCTCCGGCGCCCGCTCCCGGCCCAGCCGCTCCCTGCTGCCGCAGGCCTCTCCACCGCCTCCGCCCCGCAGCTGAGCCCGGCCGTGCCACCTCCCATAGGCCCCCACGCCCAGCTCCGCTGGCGTCAGGGCAACGCGCCGCCTACTACAACTCCCAGGGTGCAACGCGCCGACTGTGCCTCAAATACGATGAAGAGAGGCGCATGGCATGCCGGGAAGCTATAGTCTTCCGGCTTGAGGCGCTGGGTGACGCGTGTTGTTTGGTCTGTCTAGGGTTAAAGGGCGAGAAGGAATGCTGGGAAATGTAGTGTCCTTGGGAACCCACTCAGCAGGGGAAGAACAGAGAGAGAAATAACTTAAAAAAAAACAAAACCACAACACTGTAATTAACATTATGCACATTCTGTGATCCAGGCATCGTGAAAAGTACTTTATATACATTATCACATTTAATTCTCACAAGCCTATGACAAACAATACTGTTCTGATTTCGTAGGTGAGTAACCAAGACTAAGAAATAGTGATTAACTATTTTAACTTATTAGTCCTGTCTTTGCATTTGCTGTTCCCTCTACCTGGAATGCCTTTCTACTTCTTTTTTTTTATATATATATTTTATTGATTTTTTACAGAAAGGATGGGAGAGGGATAGAAAGTCAGAAACATCGATGAGAGAGAAACATTGATCAGCTGCCTCCTGCATACTCCCCACTGAGGATGTGCCCGCAACCAAGGTTCATGCCCTTGACCAGAATCAAACCTGGGACCCTTCAGTCCGCAGGCCGACGCTCTATCCACCGAGCCAAACCGGTTAAGGCGCCTTTCTACTTTTTATTCATCTTACTAGGTTCTTTGAAATACTTTCTTGGGCAAGTTGCACCCTCTACCCTGTGTACCTCTCTCTTGTGGAAACTGTCAACCGGATAACAGGACCACCTTAAAGCTTATGTAAGGTAGGAAATGGAAAGTGCTTACTTAACATAGTCCTAGCATAGTAGGGACTCAAAATGTGTATTCATGCTCAACCAGTATTACTCAGTTGGTTGAGAGTCCTGCCAAAAGGTCGCTAGTTGGATCCCCAGTAAGGGGCAAGCAGGAGGCACCCAAAGGATTTTCTCTCTCTCTCTCTCCCCCTTCCTCTCTCTCTAAAAAAAAAAAAAAATCTATTAAAAAAAGCTTTTAAAATAAAAATGTGTGTTCATTCCTACATATTCTGGGTCATCATTATTCACAATAATTAAACCAGTAAGTGACACAGAACTTTCAAAAGTAGCAGAGGTATTGAGGATTTCCTCCCCCTGCATTACACAGGCCCAACTGCATGTGGGCCCCATTTTATTGTTTTCCCTTTCCTTTGCTGTCAAGAATCACTTCCCCACCCATTAGCAGTGAGGTCTCGAGTAATAGCCAATACTCCCCCAAGCCCACCATTCTAATTTGCTGCTTCCGATTGCCAATGGGGGGAAAAAATGACTTCTCAAAGGCCTTTTTTATTCTTCCTAAGCCTTTCAAATATGTTAAGTTGCTTGGAAACAGAGTTTCAAATAAACTAGAGGCCTGATGCATGAAAATTCGTGTTAAGAGTAGGCCTTCCTTACCCTGGCTGCCAGCACCAGCTTCCCTCTGGCACTCAGGACCTGGGCAACCCTCCTCCAGCCGCCCACAGGCACCCAGGACCCTGGCCGGCTTCCCCGGGCCCCGGCTTTGTCAGGAAGGATGTCTGGACGTCCAGAAGGTCGTTCAGCTGTCCGGTCTAATTACCATATTACCCTTTTATTATTATAGATGACAGCTTACCTGAACTTTTCTCTATTATTTCACATATGAGTCTTGTCTTCCCCCACCCCACAGACTATGATCTAGATGTGAATAAAAACACCTCTCAGATGTTCTTGTTTAATCTGCCACAATCCCAGCTTGCATATATAGGTACCCATTCTCAGAGAATGGGAGAATTTCTTTCCAGGATGGAAGACATTTTTCAAATGTGAGAGACAAGCTGGAACTATCAAGAATTCACAGCAGCATAAATTGTAAAATATGTCACACTTGTGTTTGTTTTGTAATTGAGACATTGCAATGTTTTTATCAAAATAAAAAATAAAAACAAAGAGACTTCAATCAAGCCATCTTATGGATATAATCACCCTTCCATATCCAAGCAACCTGTCCTCTCATCCTCTTTTTTTTTTTTTTTTTAATCCTCACTGAAGGATATGCTTGGAGAGAGAGGAAGGGGGCTGGGGGAAGAGAAACATCAATATGAGAGAGTAACATGGATTGGTTGCTTCCCATACACACAGGGACCAGGGATTGAACCTGCAACCTAGGTATGTGCCCTGACTGGGAATTGAATAAGCAATGGGAGGATGCTCCTAACAACTGAGCCACCTGGCCAGGGCCTCCTCCCCTCTTATCTAAGTCATGCTGCAACCAGGCACACAGGTAGCAAAACACTTGTTGGGCTTGAACCATGAGCCAAAGAATATATGAATAGGAAGACCCTGCTCTGGCTGGTGTGATTCAGTTGAGATTCAGTTAGTTGAGCATCGTCCCATGTACCAAGAGGTTGCTAGTTCGATTCCTAGTCAGAGTTGGGGCTCAATCCCCAATAGAGGGCATGTGTATATTTCTCTCTCTCTCTCTCTCTCTCTCTCTCTCTCTCTCTCTCTCTCTCTCTCTCTCTCTCCCTTTCTCTCTAAATATCAATAAAAACATCTTTTTTAAAAATAGGCACATCCTGTAGGCCTTATCACCATCAGTCTTATATTGCTGGGGAGTAAACTGAGGATGATAGTGGAGTCCCTTGTCATAAATTTGGGAGCCCAGAAAAACATCTTGAAGATATGATAGCAGAACACTCATTTCATCTTTTTTTTTTTTTTCCACAGAGGAAGTGAGAGGGAGAGATAGAAACATCCATGATGAGAGAGAATCATCATTGGCTGACTCCTGCACACCCCACACTGAGGATCGAGCCTGCAACCCAGGCATGTGCCCTTACTGTGACCTCCTGGTTCATAGGTCAATGCTCAACCACTGAGCCACACAAGCTGGGCAGTACTCATTTTATCTTAATTATCAACCCAAATCAATTGGTGTGAATCACTTGGATTGCTAGGTTGAGAATTTTGAGGCTGCATCAGGACTCCTTGTAATAATGTGCTGAGATAGATTTGTGATGTCTGCCTAGAGTGTGGGATTGGAAGTGGTGGCATTTGGGCAAGGTAACTGCCATCCTGGCTGAGGATCCAGCTGCCTTAGTAGAGATTCACAGGATGAAATGACTCCATACTGCAGAGCCCTGGGTTTTATTTTTCTGGTCTCTTGGGCAAATACACAACCTTTTCAAACTATGACCGATAGGTATTAGCTAATTTAAAAGTATGTGAAAAGAATGACCATTGCATGCAACAATTTGGATGACTCACAGATATGCTGAGTGAAAGAAATCACACACAAAGCCTGTATGATTCCATTAATACAAAATTCAAAACCAGGCAAGACAAATCTATGGTGATAGGAATCAGATTAGTGGTCACCTCTGAGGGTGGTGTAGCCCAGGCAGAATGGCCCTTGTGAGGTGCTAGACAGGTTCTATATTATGATCCAGTGGTGTTCACATAGGTATATACAAATTTATCTGTCTTTATACTTAAGATCACTGCCCTTTATATACCTTGTGTACTTTACTAAATACATGTTATATCACAATTTAAAAATTTTCTCTCATAAGAGCAGCAAAAGAAACACATTTTTTTTTTTGCAAAGTACCTTTGCATACAAAAATCCCATCTTATCTCCATTCACCCACACCCCATGAAATAAGCATTTCTATACCATCTTCATTTTACAGTTGAGGAAACTGAGGCCCACAGAAGTAGGAATTGCCAAGGTCACATGGGTAAAGCCATATATTTGTAACTTTCTTTAAAAACATGTCAAGAGGGCCCTGGCCAGTGTGGCTCAGTTGGTTGGGCAGCATCCCGTGCACCAAAAGGTCGCGGGTTCCATTCCTTTTCCGGGCATACCCAGGTTGCAGGTTCATCCCTGGTCAGGTGCCTCAGAGAGGCAACTGATCAATGTTTCTCCCTCACATCCATATTTCTCTCACTCTCTCCCCCAAATTAAAAAAAAAAAAAATTTTTTTTAAATCTTTATTGAGCACTTCATGGTAAGCAAGACACTGAGCTGTGCATTTACATGCTCTTTTAGCCTGCAAAGCAACTGCATTAAGTGGGCATTATTATTGTCTTTGTTTTATAGAGTAGGTGCTGGAGAAACAGAGAAGTTAAACAGCTTGCCCAAGGTCATACTTGTAAGCGCAGAGCTGAATTCTTACTGTAAAGACAAACTGCTTAGCCCTATGCTATATTGCCTACATCCAAATGAATGAATGATTATGAGGCAGGATAGTAAGAAGCTAGGAAAATTCCTTAGCAAATAGAATGGGGAAGCTGAAATATCTGAATAAACTGGCCAAGCAATTTACAGCCAGATATAGGTCACCTCCCTAGAGATAACATCTAGGTCTCAGTGGTATTTCAGCTCCAGGTCCAGAAAAGCAGCAAAACCAGGTGGGTGACACCAAGACCAGCTGCAATGGTCAATGAACCCTGCTCTGGTGCTGACCAATCAGTAGAGACCACGACCCTGAAAGGGCACACCCGGAAAACTAATATTTTGCTGAAATCTTCCTCTGACATCTCCCCACCTGCAAGAGAGAGATAAAACCCTCAAGACAAAGGGCCCCACATGGCCGTGTGGCTCAGTGGTTGAGCATCAACCCATGAACCAGAGGTCACCATTCGATCCCCAGTAGGGGGTGTGCAGGAGGCAGCCCATCAATGATTCTCTCATCATTAATGTTTCTATCTCTCTCTCTGAAGTCAATAAAAACATATTGAAAAAAAAGAAAAAAGACAAAGGGCCCAGCGTGTGCTCTCCCTCTGGAGAGCACGCCCCACGTCATTCCCTCCCTCCTCCTCTTCCCTCACAGGGAATATCTAAGGACCCCACAAGACTTGCAACCAGGTGAGCAATGAGCAATGGCAGCTTGTCCTGGGCTAACCCCCTGAACCAACCTGCTGAATCTGTCTCCAAGGCCCCCTTTTCTCTGACTTCCCAGTGAGCTAAAGCAGTCCCACCGAGGCGCTCCTATTGCTTCTTCTATGTTAAGCCCTTCCTTGTTTCATTGTGCCCAGCTTTAATAAGTGTACTCTCAAAGTCACCTGGACTCGTATTGTGAAATCTTTCCTACACAAAGTCAAGAGCCCACATACTACTGGCTAGTCCTAGGCAGACCTGCTCAGAGCCAGGTCCCGTGTCCAGTAATAAATAGGTACACACACAAAAGCCCATAAATAAATGAAGTGTGATGGACCTGGGAGCATGCGTGACCTCCCTGAGGAATAGGGGTAGGAGGGACCTGGAAGAACCCGAGAGGGGCATGTGTGGAGTGGGAGAAAAGTATACACTGGAGGGGCCCCTGTACCTGAGCTAATGGGGGGTTACACAGCCTACTCCATACCCATTCCTTAGAGCATGTGCAGGCCACACAGCAGGCACAGTGCCCTAGAGCCAAATGTTTCCTTCTCAGTGAGGCTTTCCAGGCCAATCCATATAATTCTGCAACTTCCCTCCACCTACATTCCCAAGACCTCTACTCTCCTCTATTTTTTCTTTTTCTACAATACTCATCACCTTCTAACATATCATATAACTTGCTCATTTACTTTGTTGTTTATGTACTTCTTCAACAGGGGATCTCCACAGATCATAGTTTGCTTTAAAATGTACCATCAATGCCAGAACTATACCTAGCATTTAGTAGGTGCTCAATAAATATTTGTCAAATGAATAAATGAATAGACTGAGGTAGAAGTGACTTGGCGGCAGGAGAACTGGGTCTGGACTCGTTCTTGCCATAATGAGACCTTGGGCAAGACCCTTTCCTTTTCTGGGTCTGTTTATTCTGATTCTACAAAGGGCTCAAGACCCTGAAGTTGGAACTCTGCCTCCTGCCTCAGAGTTCTGTGCCTGAACATGCATCAGCCATCCTTGGTGAGTAGGGGGTCACTCCCAACTCAGATGGAATCTGCTAACCTGGAAGGGAGTGGGGGTGCAGCTACCACCCTTCAAGTCC